GATCTTCATTGCCTGAAGATCGTCTTGAATAAGGCGTGAAACTTAAGTAGCAATAATTAATTTTAATATATATATATATATATATATATATATATATATATATATATATATATATATATATATATATATATATATATATATATATATATATATATATATATATATATACTCTTTATATATATATATATATATATATATATATATATATATATATATATATATATATATATATATATATATATATATATATATATATATATATATATATATATATCACTATTTTGATCGTACATGTGCAGACAACATGAAACTTTAGACAGTCACTGCAGAAAATTTAACAATCTGTTATCAAACTTATGTCACAGAAGTGGTAAAGGACATATGTGACAACTGAATGGTACCTTTTGTAAACTTTTTGGCCAGGGGTGGGTATTTATTTTTTAATTGATATTTGAGGTTGGGTAATTAGTTTGTTTTACTTTTTAATGGTTGGGTCAGCAAAATTTTTGCCACGAAAAACATTTCTCTTCGGTGCCACCCGCCGTCATAAATAATGACCGGTCCCTAAATCAATCTCGCCACATTGTGTTGCAGCATGTAGTCAATCCAAAAGACATCTTGTCTTTTGGATTGTCTATGGTTGCAGCATGCGAAGAGCTGCCTATTATTGTTCTTTTAAAAATGTTTTCTGTTTAGTGCAATATGAATAAGAAAATGAAATTACCTTGCTTAACAATATAGAATATAGAAATAGTAACACTCCAAACGTGCCCTCGAACTGATGGATATTCCTTATAATAAAGTCTTCTAAATGTTCCGATTTGCGGCACGAAAACTGTCTATAGCAAACAAAAATACAAGGAATATTTTTTTTGTTTACACTGCTCATTCTCAAAATAAATGGGGCTTCGTTTGGGCAGTCGTCAGAGCAAGCACCTTTCACCTGAGTTCGCGTGGGTTAGATTCTCGCTACAGACTCATGTGAAAAGAGTCAGTCAACACTGCCTGCCTGCCTGCCTGACACAGACAGAGGGCTAAACCTAAATACAATCGTCGATGAAGGCGTGGCAGTCGGCCGTGAAGCTCTGAGAACAAAAATAATACTCTACACCAGTAGAAAACTACGTTATAAACAATGTGATATGCAGTTAAGCATTATACAAGTGCAAGTACATGACTCAATTTTAGCCGTTTAAAGGACATTGGCAATAAAAATTTTTATTGCTTTATCTGAAAGAGCATGCAAAAATAAGCCGATTGGCCGTTTACTGCTCTATTCTATCTCATCTGGTTCCGAAGTTATACGCAAAAATGTGCAAAATATAAATTGCTGATTCAGCACAACGTGTGACGTCATTGGTTGGGTAAGTATGTTTATTGAATAGTAAACTGAAGCATAGCTCAGTTATTATTGGCTCACATCAAATGAAATTTTGCATACAGATACTACATGATGAGACGCATGGGAAAATACTTATAAGGGGCCTGGGAACGACATTGTTACCTTGACAACAAAATTGGAAGTGTTTTTCAATGCGTCTCATCATGTACAATCAGTATGCAAAATTTCATTTGATTTGGGTCCATTATAACTGAGCTATGCTTCAGTTTAGTATTCATGAAACATACTTACCCAACCAATGACGTCACACGTTGTGCTGAATCAGCAACTTATATTTTGCACATTT